AAACACAACTACTTTTGTCATGAAGATACAATCTTTGTTGGTCCCTGATAATTATGGAGCAATCAGGACAATGCCCTGAAGAGATGTGCAGAGAATCTGATCAGTTTAAGAGCTCCAAGCAACTTCCACTTTAGTTTGAGCTTTAAAGCCAGATCCTAAAGTTTGGCTATATACCCCAATAGAGTCTTGAGATTGAAGGCACAGTAAATAAGCATCATCCCCAGCTTCTGTGCAGTAGTTACCAAAATGCTGTCTCTAAAAGCTTAAGCAGAGGTCCCAGAGTGCCATCACACGAAGCAAAGCAGGTACAGGCATAATAAGGGCCCCTCTACACATGCAGGTAAAAGTGCAATGAGATGTAATGTGCAAACCACACAACCATGCCTCCTGCCATGCTACACATGTATGGCAGGAGGCGCAATTGTGGAATTGCAAATTAGATCCCACTGCACTTTACTGCCAGTGAAGGGAAAGCATGGCGCATAATCCCAGGCTCCCTCTCTGCACTGGCTGCTGTGGCTGTGAACACCGTGGCTGATGGGGTTTGGCAGGGCTCACTGCAGGGGCAGCATTCCTAACTGCCAGCCCTGCATCCAGTGTGGGCTGCAGGGCTCAAAGCATAGAGAATGCTGGCCCTAGCCTTGTTTTATCATGCTATTAAAATTGGCTGAACATGTAGCTGGGTCACAACTTAAGATGCAGTTACCTGCTTAGTCGCACCTTAAATGTAAAGTGTAGAGGGGGCCTAAAAGTAACATTTGCTCTGAATCCCGAAAACCTTATAGTTCCTTTTAAATGTTCCATAATTTGGGACCCTCAAGAAGTTTAAGATACTACAGCAAAGACAACCAAAGCAGTCAGAGTAAGCCATTCACTGGGAAAAAGCCGAAAAACGCCAACAAAAATAAAATAAAACACTGCTGGACCAGGAAAGCAGCAGGTGCTATAAACAGGTAAAGGAAAGCAGGGCAGGGTGGAACAGGGAGGGAAGGAAAGACAGTGAATGCTACACAACATAAAAAGAAAGACTCACCACTTTCTATAATAGAAAGCCAAGTCCTGTACTTGGTGGGCAGGAAGCTGAAAAATTAGTTATCCTTTTAAATCAAGGAGGTACCCAAGATTTATTCAGAGGCCAGGAGGAATGTTCTCATTGCTGTGTGTGACAGTGCTGGAAGGACAGAACATTATCCAAATCTTAGTCTAGTTACACTACAGCCTCTCCCCATCTGCATTATAGACTGTAACAATGCTACCCTTGAGGAGGGACAAAGTTAACACTCCATCTCAGGATGTGGATAAACATACATTTTGAGGCATTTTAGAAAGGGGAGGTGGAACTGCTGTTACTCTGGGGCACACAGTAGTTATGCTGTATCCTGCTGTAGCAATACAGATGAGCTAAACTGCCCTAATTTTGAACCTAGATAAAAGAAGGGTCTAAATCCTTGCTGTTATACTACCCTTGTATTACTATGGAATCTTGTAAATGTAAGTTAACATCTTGGACTGATGGTTTTGTTTTGTTTGTTAGTGTGATATAATTGTTAGCTCCATCTACACCTCCAAAAATGGGACTTTGAGGCTATATATTAGTTTCAGCTACACCCAACTGGCATTACAACTTGCCAGACAAAGATGCAGAAGTGGTATCAACTCTCAAGGAAGACCACTAAACTATTTATTTGAAATTAAATATGGAATACTGCAGGAGCATCTGTAGTCCAAGCAAAAATTGTGGGGGGAGGGGAAGGGAAGGAGGAGGACTGAACAGACTGATAAAGAGAAAGTATTAAAACTATCTTCTAGAACAGCAATTCACAACTGAGGGTCCGCAAGGAAGTTTCAGGGGGTCTGCCAAAATAAACTGCATCTCCCACTGCCACCCGCACTAGTACAAGCGTGCCCTGCTCAGCCATGAGATCCCTGTCATTTCCTACTGCAGCAGTGGCACCAACACCAAAGGCACCTATCAGGAGGCAGCAATAAGCATGGGTGGGCAGATAGATGGGATCCCCGCCAGCACACCCACCGCATGGTACACGTGCATGCACCTGGGCACCTGCACCTCTGCCCTGGATACACGTATACCCAGCCACCTTCCGAGTGCATGCACCTCTGTACTGGGTATCTCCACACCTGCCTGCCCCCAATTCATGGGTCTGGGCACACATACTTCTGCAGGGGACATATGCACACCCAGCTCCCCAGTATACTCCTCTGGGCCAGGTACATGTGCACCTACCTCCCTGGTGCATGCATCTCTGCACTGAGCACAAATGCATGCTCACCTCCCGAGTGCATGCACCTGGACACCTGCGCTTCTGCACCGAGTACACGTACACCTGCCTGCACCCAGTGCATGCATCTCAGCCAGTGGTTCCCAACCTTTTTCTGCTGCGACCCTAAATTAGTCACCAACAGGACCTCCTGACCCAGCGCTGCAGGGGCTGCTGGGAGTGGAGTCTGGAAATGGCAGGGGAGCTGCCGTTACCTTTCGTGTGCGGTAGCTCCATCCCACCCACCACTCCCAGGACGTGGGCGAGTGTGCATGTGGGCCCTTCGCGACCCTACTGAGGACCCCTGTGACCCTGATTTGGGCTGTGCCTCAAGTTTGGGGACCAATGATCTAAGCACACATGCACCCATCTGCTTAATGCACACACCTGGGCTCATACTTCTGCACTGGACACACATGCATTTTTCCCATCAAATGCCATTTTTTGCACCTATTCTTTTTATATTATGTACTGTGTGTGTTTAACTATATAACTATCAATTTAATATGGCTTTTAATCTTCTGGATATGCAGGAAAACTGTTCTTGTGGCACAGGTGGGCCATGACATGTTTTTGGAGCATGCTGGGGTGGGGGTGCAGCTGAGAAAGAAAGAGGTTGAGAATCCCTGTTCTAAGGATGGTTCAAATAAATAAAATAAAAGGGAGGGGGTGGGGGGGAATGACCCTCAGTTATCAGTGACCATCTTTTCAAGATTTAACCACTGAGCTCAGATAAAGAATGCCTTAAAAAGTCACTCTGGCTGGCATTAGCCAGCTTTGACACCTCCCAGTGCCCCAGCAGTTTTTCCGCTTTTGTCTTGAACTATGATTTATGGACGAGGGCCAGACCTTTTGCTGGGGTGGGGGAGGGCAGGCAAAACAAACCAAGGAACTGAGATCCATCCACTCTCACAGACAGTTACCTCCTAGTAGAGTGATTATAGCCACTTTTGTACTTTTTTCAAAATTCAAACACTGCATTTCATACAACTGTACACAACCAGTTCATAAGAAAAAAAAAGACTATAATAAAAAAAATTGACCGTCAGAGAATATTCTTTTTGCCTTCAAAGAAGTTACTTCTTCCTAACTGTAAAACAGCTGTTGCTGCTCTCATTTGTCTTTACTATTTAATTTTAATACTTTGGTAACTGCTCATAGCTTTGACTAACCAAACTTGTGACCTCAACTCAATTCACTCCGGCTGAAAAAAATAATACTATTCTTGGTAAGGGTAGCATCCATTAACACAACTCTTCACTCCGATCTTTAGTTTACCTCATGAAACTATGGCATCATCTTGATCTCAAGCTCTCCTCTTTCCACACTGAAGGAAAACTTATTTTAGTAAGATGCTGTTGCAGTAGCAATGATGTGACTCAAGAAATCCTGATAGCACAGACCACTTTTAGAGACAGCATCAATGGTCAGATTAAAGAATGGAAACAAACAAGCGCCTTTTTTGGAATTAGATGAGGCATAGGTATATCAGCTACATACAAGTTAAATGAAATCATATGTAAATACATGAACTCCTGTATGGAAGTGTTATTTTTAAAATTCATCACACAATTACACAATGTTTCAAAACACAGCACCATTTATTTAAATAGAAAGTGACAGGTTCTCAATTTTATCCAGAGAAGCACTCATATCTATATTTGTTGTTCAAGTCCTCACACTACATCTACTTTGACATTTAAGGTTTTCATTGTAAGTACTAGCCCACGGTGCATATAGAAATTCCTTGGTCAGCATCCAGTTTGTTTAGTCATAAAAACAATGTGAAATATTTCAAAACCAAACAGGTTAGCCCTCCAGTAGCGGGACGCAAGAATTGAAGAAGTTTGAGTTTGTTTGGAACTAGTGCCTACCAAAATGAGCCAAGCAAACAGATGTTACCATTTCTTTTTTGACAAGGAGTCTAGTTGTAGCTTGTAGACACTCTGACTTGGCAAGTGACAATTCAAATTTGCCAAAGAGAACAGATGCCAGTCTTACTATAGTCCTACAGACCTTCTTGTAACATTGACCCCATTGCTTTATTTCAAAGCGGAGGCAATCACCCCGTGTGACTTAACTCCAAAGGAAGATAGTGATAAACTAGATGTTTCACTTTCTATTTCCAACCCATTGAAAGAGAGAACTGTATCTTATCAGTTTATTTTAAGCAGTGAATACATTCTTTCCTGGCCTAGTAAGTTTATATTGGATTCCAAAAGAAACATTTAACATTCCTACCCCTACATTATTTAAAGATACCACAACATCTCATTACCATCTTTAACATGCAGCTAGTCAGACTAAAGCAAAACAGCTTGTTCATGCATTGTATTAATAAATGGCAATTCATTTATGTTAGATTTTGAAAGCTTTCTAGTGAACTTGTGCTAGCTATTTGATACTGTTCACTGTGTCACTTAGAGTACTTCCTCAGACATACTTAACTAGGAACACACCCAAGACTTGTCATCAGTATTATATCTTTAAAGCACATCTTGGTTATAGCATTTCAGTAGAAGAATTTATTCTGTGTGTTACAGTAGCCTTTAAGACTATAAACAGTATAACACAGAAAGAGTCCATGGCCAACACAAACCAAAGGCGAGGACACTTCCTCTTTTCCACATTAAAAACAAACAAATGAAGCAGTTTGATGGATTTTGGCTAAATCAATACTACATCTATTTCTAAAAGGAGAACTTAATGACAAATACTTACATAGATGAGTCCAGAATAATATCGATCCTTCAAATTATGCAATACAGAAGCTTCATTTAAACAAGTTAATTCTGCCATGTCTTCCACTTTAGAGAATTTGGGGGGATTCATCTTTTGAATATCATCCTTATTGACCAATGCTTTCTTTCCATTCTCTGCAAGTTCAACCAGCACTTCATCACCTCTCTCCTCCTTGATGCTGGCTGCCTCAAAACCATGGCGCTCTGAAGGTATCCACACCAATTTTTTAGCAGTCCAGTCAGCCTGGGTGGCAGGGTTGTAGATTACAGCCCTGTCCACAAAGAGATACCTCTCTGGGTCTTCCTGTCCAGATCTCTGCGCCATTACAGAAGTAGAGGTGTCCACTAGCAGTCACCTTGTTGGACAGAGAAGAGATACATCAGTCATAAGTAAAACTTCAGCATACATTATTTCATAATGTATTTCACAGAACTTGAAAATATTGGTTAACTATTTTATTACTACTTTTTTTTGGATGTCTAAGTTACAGTACATTTATAAAAGAATCCTGAAGTTATTGAGTTTCATGTTGCCAAATAAGGAACACAGTATCATTTTAGTTTGTATATAGCAGTACTATTAAGTATTAACACATGGAATGGCCTTTGTTAAAACGAAAGAGAGACAGAAAGAACCATGGCTAGGAAGTCTGGCACCCAGGACAAAGCCAACAGCAGCAGCCTACCCTCACCATGTGCACAAATCCAGGGGGCACACATTCCCACCACACTCTGCTTGTCCAGGAGTATACGCAGTGGCAGAAGCCACCTTCCCCCATTCCCCATGCCCCCCACCCCAACAAGGTGCTCAGGGCAGTCATCCCGCTCGCCCCCCACTTGCTACGGCACTGAGTCCATATATTGTAAGCAGGGACCTCAAAATGCCACAACCATAAAGCAAGAGTAGCTTTACAAAACAGTAACGTAAATATTTAGGTTATGTAAAGTTTAAAAGGAAACAGAGCCCGAGACCTACCACAAGGTGACCTACACCTAGTAAAAAACAAAACAAAACAAAACAAAAAAACAAAAAACCCAAAACCAAATACAAAAAGCCACCCCAAAACTATTTCTGATTAAATAACCAGATAAAAACCACAAAGCAGTAGAGTAAGATAATTTTTTTAGTTTAGCTTTAGGAAAAGTTAGAGTATTTTCCTTCAGAGGTACTTATACATTGAGTTGTGGCAGGTTGTAACCACACTCTCCTTCCTTATCTCACCTTTCTGCTATTTCAACTACAATAAGTATTAGCTTCTATTGTTCTAAAGTTTTTCCAAACTCTCCAACTATATAATTCAAAGTATTTTAGGTATAAAGATGTAAAGTAACTAAGAAATTGATTTCAGTTTTACTACAAGAACTGGAGGGGAGCCGAGAAAGAAGTCTCTTGATAAGCATTGTTGAACTTGTACCAATCTTGTCCCTTAGACTAAAACTGCGATTCTCAGCCAGGGTGCCATAGTACCATGGGGTGAACTGAGATCCTTTCAAGGGTCCTACAGGGTGCCACACGTTAGCACTGTTAGGTGTGCCAACATCATTGACAAGATCAACCCAGAGTTTTCAAACAGGAATTCAGTGTTCAAACATTCTGACCTGCTGCAGTAAGAGTTCTTTGCAATAGAAGAATTACTCTATTATTTTTCTGTAGTCAAAAGATGGAGTGAAAAGCAAGGACTGACATTTTCAGAGGGGTGTCTCATGTCCAAAAATGTTGAGAACCATTGGACTAGAAGACAGAATTAGATTCAGAAAAAGACACTATCTCCATGCAACTGCCATTATATTAAAAGTTCTCCAACTATACAATTTTAGCTTTAAGTGCCTAAGACCCAGAAGATCAAGTCAGATTATTTTTTTTAGAACAGGGAAAAGCAAAGAAAGAAAGAAAAAGAAATTGAAGTTCTTACTACACACCAAGTATTCAGGTCACTAAGTCTCTTGCTTTATTAATCAGAATTATTTTTATAGTAAATTTGAAACTATTCCAAACATTTAGGGCATTAGAATATCAAAGGATCAGCTAAGCTAACAAGTGGTTGAGTAAAAGGTAGTGAAGGTCCATTTTAGATATTACAGTACATTGGGAGATTAAATTCTTGCATACATCTACTCTCAAGTGAGCATACATACAGTTGTGTCCAGATCTACAGCGAGTCCACTTGATACAATGTTAAAGGAGGCTAGGGTAAAACAAGCATGAGGTCATTCAGTCAACTACAGAGCTGTGAAGCAAACAGCTTCACTTACTATATTCCAGTTAACTTTTGATCTGGTGATGCTTCTTTCAAATGGTGTGGAAGTTCATCAGTTTTGCATCAATAGATTTTTGTTAGCAGAAATGGAAAATGGGCTGCAGGAAGTGCCACAGATGCAGGAGTTCTAGCAGATTCTTTATCTCAGCTAGAAAGAGAGCTGTTATCCACACTGTACCCATCGCTTAGGTCAAGACAAGTTTAAAACATGAGCACCTTCCACTAGATTCCAAAAAACTACTCATCTCTTATATGATAGATCATGACTTCACTCTGTAGCATAAGGAGATCTGCAACAGCCTAGTTTCTTTCCTCTGTAAGGCACTCACCACCAAGAAAAATTAAGTCTGCCTGGCAAGTTGCTTCCTATAAATTTATCACTTGTAATATCAGTTAGTCCCATTTCCCTCCAACCTTATGTTTAATGAAAACCAGACCTCAGAAACAAATGAAATTTATAATCAAAATTAATCCAGAATATATTCTTAAGGAGCAGGTTAACTAGTATCAAACTGATATGCATTTTAATATTAAGGGACCACAAACTGAGGGGGGGGGAGTGTTACATTTCCATTTCTGGCATCAACTCAGAGGTTGCTGGGCGGCTCTGGGTAAGCTCAGTTTGCCAAAAGAGGGACACCTCTACAAAAAACAAAATCAAGGGTGGTTTGCTTTACTGAGGGCTTTCCACTAGAGAGTGAAATTTAAAAAAATACACCTTACATTTTCACATGTAGAAATCCAGCCCTCAGAAAAACACTACAACAGTCCCACATATTTTACTAACAATTAACTGCACAAGAGGAGAGCAAGCAGCGCAGAGATGGGGAGTGGCAGCGCTCAATGCAGTCGCCGCGTTTTCAAGGGCAGAAATATCCAGAGACTCTATTCTTCGTTCTCCGCAGAAACACGATCACCCTTCAAACCGTTATTGTTCTCCCAAAGCATCCGAGTGCCAGCCAGCCATTTTCCAGCTCCGGCTCCTTCCCCAATTTAGGCTCAATAATAACACAACGACTTGGGGAGGGAAGCGAGGGGCCTACAAATCCCACTTCCCAAGCGAAGGACAAAAGACCCAGCTCTGCGACTTGAACCGCGGTTTTCCCAGGGCAGACAAACCGCCTCCCTCCCACCCCCCTGCCCGATGCCCGTGGCATCTGCCGGTCCAAACGCCGGCGGACGGCCACCTCTCGCCCACGCCCCCCCAGCAAGAAGGACACGATCCTGGCGCGGCCGGACCCCTCCAGCCCCGCACACCAGCCCTGCGCAGCGCCCGCCCCGGGGACCCCACGCCCGGGCTGCAGGGGGAAATGGGGAAAATGGCCACCTCGCATGATCGATCCCGAGGAGGTGGGCAGGGAGCGCGCGGATCTCCCCGGCGGCAGCAGCTCGCAGGCGAGAGGGAGGGAGGCTCCAGGAAGCGGCGGGGTCTTTGTCTGCCGAGACACTCCCCCCCGCACCCACCCAGCGGCGGGGAACCGAAGGGGGAGGGGGCGCGCCATCGCCCCCGGCGCACCATGCGACCGCCGGGACCCCGCCACACATCCCCCCCGACAACCCCTCACCTGCGCGGCACCCCCAGAGCCGGCGCCTCCCGCCCAGTCCCTCAGCACACTCCCCGCTCCGCCCCCTCCTCGGGGGTCTTCTAGCGCCACTCAGACACCCCCCTCCTCCTGCCGCCCCCACTGCTCCCGCCCACACGGGCCGTACCAACACCTTCATTGGCCGGGAGCCACGTCCATCCAGCCCCGCGCCAATGCTCATTGGTTCCCCCCAGAGCCCATCTCCAGCCAGGCCATAGCAACCTCGCCAAGCTACCATTCTAGCACCTCCCCCTCCTTTGCCCCGCCCCACAGCTCCCATTGGGTGACCCTATCCGCCTATCAATTTAAATCTCCTCTCTCAATGGTGGGGGGTTGACGCCCGTCACGGGTGGCGGTTGGCGGCAGTAGAACCCGCCTTAGTGCTGGCAGAGGGGCGGTGGCCGTAGGTGGGTGGTGCTAGGGCGATGCGCGGGCCGGCGCCCGGCCTCTGTCCCTTGCTTCTCCCTGCCTGTGAGGGAGCTGCGTAGGAAAGACGTCTCTCCCTGGGGAGATCAGGAATGAGGAGCAAGGGCCTGTGTAGGGCCAGCACCAGTGGCTGAGAGAGACATTAAACAAGCTGGGACATTAAGCAAGATATTATTAAACAAGGCGAGGCGGTGGGAGAGACATTTGACAAGCCTTCCATGCAGCCTGCCGCTTCATAGCAGCAAAACGCGTGCAGTCACATGTGAGCAACCCGTGTTCACCCTGTGCTGACCCACCCTGGGCCGTACCCCCTTGTAGCACTCTCCGTGTCCTTCGTGCACTTGCATTCCAGTGTTTCCCAACCTTTTCCAGCCCAAGGCCCATGTGCACTAATAAAACGTTTTCTGCAGCACATCTGTGAAGGTATTCCCCATCCTTGTACTTAGGAGCTTGTACCTCGCTTGTTGCTGCGGTAAAATTCGGTGGCACAGTTGTTCAGAGGCTTACCAACGGCGCGTCCCTCACAGCCAACGCGTGCCGGTGTCTTCTGTGACTCCATGACGCAGCTTAACCGTGAGCAAGAGGCGGCTGGAGAACTATCTTCTCATTATTCCCACATTCCCATGGCACATCAAGGAGCTCACACCAGTTGAAAAGCACTGCTGTAGTCAAATCCCATCCTTTTCATACCAACCACCACCACTTAGGGCTTGGATAGATAGATATGCATTGGGCCCCATCCCGCCTCTCTCCTGAATGCAAGCTCCTCGGGCTTGCATGCGAATTCTGATCTACAGAGCTGCATGTAGGTGTGTCCGTGGACTACACAAAGTCTTGAGATAGCTCCCTGCATGCAAGTGTAGCACCCAGTCCCCGTGCTTCTTCCTGTGTAGATGCTTCAGGGACGTCCCCAAGGCCAGCTTAAAAAAAAAAAAAGCAACATTGATGTTAACTTGTGGGACACTATCATCCAGGACCACCTCAAATGGAGAAAGAGTCTGCTGCTGGCATCTCAGTACTTTGAAGCCTCACAACAGGAGATGGAAAAGTGGGAGCAGCAGAAACAGCATGTTGCGGATGAAATCAAGAATCCAGCGCCACCCTCCCTGCACAGAAACACATTTCTAAGCTACAGTAGAGTCTGTCGATCCCAGATAGGCCTCATCAGCTGTATTCAGACACATAAGACAATCATGGAAGACAATTATCTTCCACTGCGAGGGATTACTGCAGAAGAACTACGTAAAATGCACTTCACTTCTGAAAGGGTATGCATCCTATGCCTTCCTCCCCTTCCACCCCATGCACAAAATTATGTGCAGTAGCATAACATGGGGCACTGACCTTTGGCACTGATATTGAGGGGGCACCAGCAACATCCTACTGCACTCAGATGTTCAGCATTCCTCATGTTAGTAGCTCCTGTGCTGCCCTCTGGCACGTGAGAGCACTTCTGCCCATGGCACTAAGTTTGCTAGTTACATCTCTGACTATGTGTAACTGTACCCACATATGTATTCCAAAACCAGGGAGGGCACACAGCTCCATGCTGTCTGGAAATGTGTTCAGTTCTGACCTCTCATATAAGTGTATTCAGCCCTAACCCTTCCCAACAGAAGTGCATATAATCATTACTTCAGTAAGCAGTCATGTTTGCACCATTTCAAGCATACCCCAACACACATCTTCCACTGCAGATGGTCAAATATTGTGCCCAATTTGGCCAGTCCAGTCTGGGTACCATGTGGTTTCTGGTAGTGGAGATCTGGGGTGGAAGAGGGAGGATTTATTTTTCAGAGTCATGTTCTGCAGGTTTCAGTGAAATCACTACTGCTTTGTCTTTGCTGCTGAGTCAGTACAACAATATCCACTTTTCAGAAGTTGTAAAAAAGAAGTGTGCACAGGAGGAATATGTATTAGAAAATGTATAAATTAGAGTAAAACATGAATTATCCAGAGTAAGTAGTGTCACCATCATTCCGGAAAGTTAATTCTTCCAGATAATCAAACACCAAAATATGAAGTGCTGAAAACGACTGTATTTACCCAAATCCAAAGTGACTTTGAATTTAATATGACCCCCAAGTAATTACATTCTATATGTGAAAAATTATAAATGTGTTATAATTTTTCAAGTATAGAATCTAATTAATGGAAGGCTGTTTTCTTAATTTTTTTACCACCCCTTATCCTTTGTCCCTCTTCCCTTTGCCCTCTCTGCCTGCCCCCTTGCCACTTTCCCCCTCCTGCCTGCCACCCACCTATCCTTTCCTCCTGTCACTTGCCCTCCATCATGTTTCCCCTCCAGCTGCCTGCCACGCTCTTATCCCCATTCCTGCCCGCCAATACCTCTTATCCCCATTCCCGCCTGCCAATACCTCTTATCCCCATTCCCGTTTCTGACCTCTACTTCCTGACCCCCATCCCTTGACCCCTGTGCATATGCCTGCTCCTGCTTTCCCTGCATGCCCCTGCTGCATGCTTGCCCCTCGACACCCCATACTCCTTCCCCACTGCAATTACCTTCTGCTGCTCTGTTCCAGCTCTGGGGTAGACAGCAGTGGTGTCCCCTCACCTGGCCCCAGCCATGTTCAGCCAGGCAAAAGGAGCATCTGCAGCTCTGGGTCCAGCTGCGTTGGGGCTGGAGGGGTCAGAACCAGTGTAGAAGGTAAGCAAGCATTATGGGGGCAGGTTGAGGGTAGGCAAGCAGATACTGACCAGGAGGCAGGCTACACAGTTTTCCCCCTAAGCCTCACAGACAGGTCTTTCCTGCACTCCCTCTCTCTCCCCATCACATGGTTTCCTTTATGCTCCCGCAGGAGGAAGCCCTCTCCCCTACCACACAAGCCATCTTGGCCCAAGGTAGGCAGTGGCTCAGCTCTAGCTTTGGCTTCAAGCCCAGGGCAAAGCTAGAGCTGACCTACTGCCTGCCTAGACAGGTATTCAAATCTAAGACAAGACTCTTTTTTTTCCCCCATGTTGCTTGGATTCAAGTAAGTGTGGTATACTTTAATTACTGTATTTTACAACAAATATTAAAAAACAAGAAATAAAGGTATCATACCATATAATGCTTTAAAATCTCAAAGCACTAGTAAATAAACAATGCACAGCTATCTCACTGATGAGCAAAACCCAAGTGCAGCCTGCATAATACAAAACCATCCAGTTAATTGACTTTCTTCATAATCAACTTCCAGGTAATTGACTCTCTGCTGTAATAAAAATATAGAGGCAACATACATAAAACAAGAAGGAATACATAGCTGAAAGAGAGTGGTTGATGGAAAATGAACCCCTGATGTTATATATATTTTAAAGGAATGAGGTCAATTTTGACATTAAAATAAAGGATCTTAAAAATGGAAAGACAGAAAATATAGAAAGGGAACAATACTTAAAAAAATAAATACAGAAAAAAAAGTGAATGGGATCATTGCTGCATTCCTTGCTGAAATCTTCCTATCGAACTCCACTAGAGTTTCACTTAATTATAGCTAGCAAGCCTAACCTGTTAATATTTACTGAAGTACCTTCTTTTAGAGTTTGAATAGTTCTACTGACATTGAGGATTGGGGCTTTCCAGGTATGCAATAAATTAAAGGAAACCAGACACAGAGGAAATTTAATTTTTTTAAACGGAAGAGACAGAAGAAAAACACCTGTTAAAAGGAAAAGTACTTATAGAAAATAGAGCCGGCACCTTCTTTCTCCATGGCCTTATGGTCTGGTTTGATGAAAGTTTTTATAGGATAAAAAACTTGCAGGACTACTTCCATTGACATTAAAAGAAAATGGAAAACTCCAAAAGGAGTATCAACAGCCTCCATGATATGGATAATTGCTTCCCAAGTAACAGTAGCATTCCATTTATGGGAACCAACTGCCCAGTGATTATGCCACAATGTTATAAAGCTTCATTTCTCATACATGTATGCTATGGGGTTAGGAATCCCTGTGGTATTCCAATATGCTCTTCGTTGTACAGAGAAATAACCTTTTTGACTTGTGGCTAAACTTACTTCAAATTGTTCGTAAGTATCCAATTAATACTTTAGGACAGCATCTCTGGCCTCCCCTTTTCTACTTCTGTTTCTCAGGGGGTGCAAACGGAGCAGAACCAACTCATGGATCACCAGCAGGAGATTCTGTAAGCGGAAAGAGTCCTCAGCAGGTACATTACAAGTGTATTTTCCTAGCCAGTAAGGCCCAGACAGCCTGACTTCCTGTATAACATAGGCCATGGAACAATCTTGCTTGAATCCTAGCATATCTTTGACAATAATGTTCTATCTTGAGTTAACAATTGGCAGCTATGGTTAAGTGTACCACAAGCCCTGTTAAACTGTTCCAGTGATTTACATGATTAACTTTCATTGTTAAAAATGTGC